TCTGCAGCTCGGTTTCACTCGAAATATTATCGATAATAATCATATCACTTGTTATATTATAATTGAAAATATTCATATATTCGTGCTTCCCTCACTGAAAATTCACTATTTTTTCTTGTATACAGAAGTGGAAAATGTATTAGACAAAACGTTGGCACCAAAAGGTGGAAGACAATCAATATAGGAAAAATATATATTGAGAACTCTGTTGGATATAAACTTCAAGTAGCAAATTCTTGGGACAAAAAGAAAAAATAGACCTAATTACGAGTTGTAGTTCGAAGTCAACTTCAACTTCAGTTTCCAAATCCTGCCATGGTTTTTATTTAATAATTAATTGCCAGAAAGTTCTCTTACATTTAAGTTTAGTGAAAGTGATAATAATTAATTTGTACAAAAATAAATCATAAGTAAACAACATTTGTACTAAACTGGTTTAAAATTCTTCTTAGGAAATATTTCCACTCTTATTAGAAAAAATCAAACTTTTTCTAACTTAAAAGTGGCTATCACAATATTTAATTTTTCCAAACAGTCATAGCAAAAAAATGTTAAAGACCTGTTGAGACTGCGGAAAATTGACAAGAATACCACTCCCGTTTCAGCCGGTACAAACTTATGTAACTCGTGCAAAGAGTTATAAAAGATTAAAAACGTTCTTTTTCAACTTGATTCTTCCAGGTCGGAAGGTATTGGAAAATGTGTTTGAATCAGATACCTAATTTTAAAAGAAAAGAAAATTTTGTTTATTTGCAAAATTTAAAATTGACTTTACTTGTGATCGAACTACAAAGAAAATAAAGGAAAAATGTATTTCCGTATAGAAAAATTATTACATTGAAATACTAGGTATTAGCAAAAATTTTGACATGGATTTGAGCTTAATTGATAAACTCGAAAGCTCCCCAAAAGCGTTTTGAGAGGTTGAACGACTATTTTCGCTGTTAAAACACCTTTTCTCCAAGTACCTATTTACATCCCAAAATACTATTTTATGTCGCTATAGTGTATTTCAGAACTTCGTTCGCCTAAGCCATAGACCGAGGTGATTGAAATCAACAATTATCACCCAGTAAGTATGCTTTTACCGCCTTTCTTTTGTTAAAGAACAAGCTGTTCCCTTGTTTTCGCAGGTAAGCATTGAATCTAAGGGTGTTCTTGTCTTTTAGTATAGGGCAAACGAGTTGAAACAAGAACACTCTAGTGCACTTTCAGCATTGTTGTATCATATATAGCGACTGACTCAGCGGTTAAAGCAGTGACGTTAAAAATGTTGAAGCACTGCATTTACATGTACAAGAGGAACTGAAATATCAACTTTTTAAAAGTAACTTGTTTCTTTATTATTTACAGTTAATAAAATAAAATAAATCCATTACCATCTTTCAACCGATTGACGGTTGGGAAACCCTGGAATATGTCAAAATTTGGGACGATTTATGGCTTAGGCAAACGGAGTTCTGAGATACACTATAAACAGAACACATAATTATTTACTGTTATTAAAATATGTAAATAAAGTAACTGAAATATTTGGCTTTAAATAATAATTTTGTACACCGGATGTAACAATTTACCAGTTTCACTGTAATATTTCAGTTGCATAAAAAAAACTGGAAATTTTTTCTCTTCTTATAACATAGAGTAGGATTTCAAGTACTTACGTTAAATACAGTATTTTTTATTCTTTCAGTGTTGTATAGTACTTGATATTTAACTTGTTTTGTTTAATACTTTCAATAATTTCAAATGGCGTGGTCTATTTTTAGACAATCCACTCTAACCTTTAATTTTCCCGAAATGACAAAGGAAGCGTCAGTTGTTACGCGATTGAAGAAAAGAAAATCTTCGGTCCCGTTCAACCTGAGGTTTCCTTTTTTTCAATGAAGGTGTTTGATAAATTGATATTGATTGCCAGCTAACGAATTTTTATAATTTTGCACTGAGACGAGAAAAACTCAATTTTCTGAAATACAGTTTTAAGCAAAATTGTAAAGATAAAAAAGTGACGTATTTACGCAACTGGGATATAGTTAATACCGAAGAAACCATCAAAACTAAATTAAAGTAAATATTTTTTTATTGATCCTCTTCCTCTTGTCACCACAGAAGCGGGTTTTCACGATTGTATGAAACGTTCGAGGTTTAACAGTAGTCAGTATTTTGGGTTTTGACCTGTAGGAGCAGATACAATGAAGAATCCGTACCTATTAATTTGAAACTCGTTGTCGAGCTACGATTTCATTTGTGGTAAAATGGTGAAGATTGTTTTGTAATTTATCAGGCTTTTTCGATGTACAGGGTGATTACTAAACCCGCGGCAAAAATTCAAGGGGTGATTTCTTGGATAATTTTAAAATTTGTTTGTCTTTAAATGATTTTTGCGAAGACGCTTTATTTCGAAGATATGGGGCGATAAAAATAAAGTAAAATTATGGTGCGGGGCACTGAAATGAAGAATATTTGAGAAATTGGATAATTCAAAAGTGTAAGGCAATAAAAAAACAACCTAGATATTTTTGAAAAAGTTCGGTAGCCAATAAAGAGATCTAGTGGATGCATTCTGGTTGATAATAGTCAGTTTCAGCAGTTTTTGTAGATTCAAAATTACCTTTGCTTGTTGAACAAAGTTTTAAAAGGCCAGGTAGCAAACATACAATTGTGTTTTATTAATGCACGACTGGATATATTCTCGCACAAAATTTTATTTTTGCAGCCATTCTTTTCTGATGTAATGCCCTACCTGTTTAATAAATAGAAGAACAATAAAAAATTTAAACAACGTTCTTAACATAGATTTTTTTGTGTTTTGTATGTAAGTACTTTTTACCCAGATTTTCATCAAATTTCGACGGAGTCTTTTCTAGAGTGCTCTAAACAGTATATTTTTTAATTTTTCAGCGATATACTAATCGTTTCAAAATGTAAACAAAAATTTAATAATAAGAAAGTCATGGCAGACAAATAATTACTTCGCGTTTCCTTAATTCTCATTTTCTCGTGTACTTTTTACATTAACTGTAAGGTAATTCCACACAGATAACACAGGTTTAATAGTAAAAAAATGATATAATTCTCATATACATATTAAGAATGTTGGAAAACTAGAGGAGAAACGAAAATTTACAACCAAAATGTTAAAAAAACAATTAAGAAACAAACTGTTTTAGTTATATGAAAGTTTAGCATGAAAAATGCTTGTTGAAATTAATCACTTTGTGTAAATTTGCCAGTTGAATTTTGAAAATGAGAGCACACTCATTCTTTGTTAACTTTTATTGAAATTGCAAAATTTAATCCATTTCGTTTGAAGTATAAAAGTTAATGTCATTTTTGGAAAAACGTAGACATTTCATAAACCAAAACCGAAATCGGGATGCCACCGTTTAAGAATTTATTAGAGTATTAAAGCAGATTCTAATTGTGACACTCGGTATATTAATAAATACACACAAAGAAAAGAACAAGTTCTTGGCTTTTTAGTTCGTATTTCAGTTATATTGCACCATAAGAGCGTAATTAGATACAAGGACAAGCTCAAGAGTATATTTTTCTAGATTTTTAATGCACATATTTATGCATATTTATTTTCCAAGCTCTGAATTGTTGAAAATAACTTAAATTGGATTTTACGAAACCTTACAAAACCTTTCTGGTCTCAGTTAAATTATGGAAGGCATGATAATACTGTCCTAACCACGAATTTTCATATTTCTTTTGCATTCATTTGGTTTTCTGTGTCGTCTGTGACCGAACTGTAAAAATCAAAAATCTGTTCTTTTAAAAAGTTTCCTTATGTTACTACTGAATATTGGCATTTTCGTTGAAAGTTAAAGCCTTTTTGGTTGAGGAGTACGTTCGCAATGGTCAGAAATTGAAAGTTTTTTGTTCGGAGTATTTGGGATGAATTCCCCTTCCTAATAAAATTATGGAGTATGCACATTTCTCTATATCCTGAAACGTAGTGTAACTTAGTGTCTAAAAACGTAAATTCTAGAAAAACGAAAATCGAGGAGCAGGCTGGAATCCAAGAGAAATCCAGAAAACATTGAGAATATAGGTAAGAATGGTTATGGAAGAGGCCCTTTAACATCGATAAAGCTTTTGACGTAGTAAGTGAACTTATAAGTTTCACCTGTATCTGTATAGATTACTATGTGTTCAGGAATTACAACAAGGTGATTCTCCGCTAAAGCCTGAATATCGGCAATAGTTTTGAACAGAATCGACACCTAATTGTCACAAAATTCTGTGTGTAGGTAAAATTGAAGATTGGGCAGGAATTGGTCGATTTGGTATAATAGGGCCAATTATTTTGAAGGTTGGGAGTTTATCTAATTTTGATATTTTTTATAAATCAACTCCATAATGATGAATTGACTATGGGCTCGATCAGTCGAAACACAGAAAACCATTGCCCACTAAGATCCTGTGATCTTGAGATTTGTCCATATTTGAAAAACTCGATTTACCAGACTCCCACTGACAACGTCAACGAACTAAGGCAATAATTGCAAAAATTAACGAAATCGAAGCAAATCCTTAAGTGCTACAAAACGTTATTCATGCAGTTAGACGTCCAAGTTAAATGTGCTTGGAAAAAAATGGGTAACATTTTCAACATTTACTGTAGTACGTTAATAAAACACACTAAAAAATGTTGCAACCATACCTCATTGTTAAAATGAATTTGGTTGTTATATCCCTATTTATTGTTGGCTACATTATAGGTGAAAAAAAGTAAATAGTTGTAACAATCATACAATTTTGGTTATGAACCATATAGTATCAATAACTATATGTGTAGTACTCTTTTGACATAACTCTTACTAAATGGTTGTAACAACCATAATGTTTGGAAGTAATCTGCCATACTATAACCTTTTGTTGAACAAACCACAATTATAGTTAAATTTAATTTAACCGCCATCGATTCGACCAATGGTATAATTTCCCACTTAGTGCCAGACAATTGTCAGCACATTTGTGGTCGTCCGCAGTCGTCTTTGTGTTTTGATTCGTTATCCCAAGAATTAAAAAATTACAGTTTACCTAGTTGGTGTTTTGTGATACTGATAATTCATTTTGTGGTGTTGTGACAATGGAAAATGTAAAAAAATATTTACAAGCATGGAGTTTGTCCCATCTCATTGCTAAATTTGAAGGTAAGTAGCTAAATATACGTGCTTCATTTAGTATAATAGTTGCAATGTAAGCAATCAAGACTTGATGCAACGATCGGTTTCGTGTTCATTTGTTTTAAGTCATACAAGGATAAGGTATGTTTGAATTAGTTCATTTTTCCATAAAAATATGTAATTTTAAACATTACTTTAAAAATATGCCAATTAATATAATACAATCTTAATGTTAAATACTTTGTTCCGTTGTAAATTAAACAAATTGTGTAACGTGATGCAAGTAACATCATAGTGTGTGCGATTAATAAAAATCTATGCTGGTATATTTTTCTCGTCATGGGTTAGTTATGCACAACGGGGTCAGGGGTTGAGAAAAACAGTGTCAACTGAGGACGTTCCTCTACGAACGCACTCTACATAATTATTTGATGAGTACGTTGATGGTACAGGGTACCATTCAAATTAAAATTGCTAAATTGTAATAAAATTCAAATATGGTGTTAAAATGGAATCTTTTTCCAAATACTCATACACCGAAGTGTGCTATGGCCAAAAAATTTCTGATTAATCTTTTATTCAGTTCAGTTCGTACTAGGTAAAACCCATAATAATGTTTTATGATACATTTGATACATTCCTGGCAGAAACGGACTGATTTCTGAAAAAGTTATAAAATCAAATTTGGTCTTAGTTTTTTTAACGGTATTATACGGTGTCTGAGCCATATATTGCCATATTCCTTATATTGTCAGGCCTAAAAATCGCCTAAATTCTAAACAATTGAATCGTACGGCTTTAAGTTATCTTTATAATGGGCAACTCGTATTCACGTAACAATCGTTTATATATAGCTTTCAGGTTTCAAAATTTAATTTGCCAACAAATTTTAAACCTTAAGATGGCAATATTTGGCTTAGGTACCTTACATAGCCACACACTTTTGATACTAAGACAAACGCAGTTGTGTCGAATTTTCCATTGAAATTTGCACCATGGAGTTGCGGCACCTCTAGTAGGCAGTGCAAGTTGGCGCAATTTATCTCGAAAAAGTGCGTTTGTTTATTCCGTCACCCCTAGCAACCAGCATTTGATACCCAAATTAGCATTATAAAGTTGCGCTGCACCAGTGACTTGCGCCACCAACTTGGAATTGGCCCCTGACACTGTATTTTTTTGTGATCTTCACCAACCTTTTTCTTTTAAATTTTGGAGAATTAAAGCAAAATCGTGTAGTATCTTTTCCTTTTAAAAGTAATTTAAAATGTGGTTTGCCAAAATGCATACATAAGTATGTACAATATAAATTGTTCGTTTCCATAACTGTAACAACGAATAAATAACTGTAAATTTTATTAAGATCACTTTTAAATGTTGTAATATTATTTTTCAGAAGAAGCGATAGATGATGATACATTCTCAAAAATTAACACAGATTCACAAGATTTCAAAGAACTGATTGCAAAGTATGGGGACAGAATTAAATTTAAAGAAGGTTTTAGACAGTTGTACAATAGAATTGACGAAGAAAATGTAATAACAGATAATAACTGCTTAGAAACAATAGTAGTTAAGACAAATGATGCTCCTAGTGATACTTCAGGTAATGTATGGTTTCAAGTGAAAACATATTTTTATGTATATAATTTTAGTTTACAAAGAGACACAAGAACCCATTCCCAGCACTAGTAAAGGCACGTGCTCTACAGTTTATAGAGTGGATGATAATTTACCTTTAGGTACTGTATGATATTTGGTAATGACATATATATACAGGGGTGAGTCACTAAGCGATAACTCAATTATTATTGAAAATAGAAAAGTTGTCCGGGTCTTTGAGTATCATTAAATTATTTTTAACTACACAGAATGTTCTGTGTCTGACACATACTACACAGCTTAGCTTTTTTAATGTAGCACCTTACTTATATTTTTACATATTCTCAGTGGCTTCTTCCTCAGGTTTAGAACCGTAAATTCCAATGCGACGTTGTCACGTAATTCCACTTTACTTGATATTTTTTAACAATGCAATGGTACATAAAAATGTTTTATAATCATCGGAGATGAATATACACGTTTGATCATATTCGCAGAAACATAAAATTCAATTAGTCATTCATCAGTTATGTCGATCATCTCGATAATGTGACGTATACAAAAAAAAAAAAAAAAAACTAATTGCAGATTTAGAATCAGCATGCCCAACGTAGTAAAATCACTCACTCTATTCTTTGATGATTTTTTGTTGTTTAATGAAATATCAAGGACCAGGTGCTTAGTGACTTACTGTTATTTTATTAAGAGTGAAGTTTTATGTTTGAATGGTGTTTTTAGATATTGTACCGGTACCGTATAAACGGTGTGATTCGTTTTTGGAAAAACTTCCAAATCTGGAAGTGACATACGAGCTTGTAAGTAAACACATATATTTTTTTGTAAGATGTCATTGCTTTGTAGGATTTGAAAAAATTTTTGCAAAATTCTATAAAAGGTCGTAATATATTGGCCCAGAAAAACCATTTAACACCGCAATTAAGAGATGATCTCGTTGCATTATTAAACGATCACGATTTACTACAAGACATTAATTCCTAGTATGTTTTAACGAAAGAACTGAAAATCGAACATACATTTTTGTAAAAAATTGCTATTTTAGTATTCCGACCAGAAGACTTTTACAATTAGCCCGCCTCATAAAGCAAGAATTCCCGAACGAAGATATTTCCACATACTATATACCGTATGTTAGACAAAACAAAAAAACTGTCCAGTGTATGAGGGGTAAATTAGTTGATCGTTACCATAATCAAAGAAAGAAGTTGAAAAAATCTGGCGTTCTCACCACTGCGTGTCCATCATCAAGCCTTGAAGTTCATGAAACTGTAGAAATAGCGAGTACGTATGTAATTAATTTTTGAAGATATAATTCCTACGCTTTTTTTTAATAGGTAGTCAAGATTACGAGGATGACGTGGAAGACTTTTGTTGTTGGTTAAGGTATAATACAGAACCTTGGCCAGAAGTTTTGGCTAAATGGAAGGCCACTACATGTGTAAGAATTCCCCGCTATAACCAGAATACAACCACAACTATCCAAGAATATTTTCAAGAATATAAAATTTTAGAAAAGTCCTTAGGTTATCAATTAGTAAGTAATATAACAGTATATTATGTAAGTTCACATTTTTATAGGTGGTATATTTTTTTAGCTGGAAATTGATTTCAATTATCTTTATCCCAAAAAATCAGAAATATTTTTTGCCGAAATACATAAAAAAAAACATATTATATTACGATTGGCCCAATACCGAGGCGTACTGACTCAACATTTTCCGGATCAAAACATTAATATTTTGAATGAAGGTAAAACCAACTGATTTATTTCTTTGTAATTTGAGTTAATAATAATTTTCTGTTTAGACGCCACTGCTGTTCTAAGTTTATTAACACTACCGTATCTAATGCCAGTAGTGATTGTTACGACAATAAAAAGAAATGGAAACCGTCTAAAGTTGAAGTAGCGAACAGTTTCATTACTTACGTGAAAACCAGTGAAGAGATGCAATTGATGTTGGAACGAAGACATCGAAAATATGCGGAAAGCAAACAATTATGCCAACCTCTAATAACAATTGTTGGACCAGATTTGAACAACCTGAAGGGCTATATTTCCATCGATAACTGTACATATCCTTTTGAATCGGCCTTGAAAAGTGTAAACACTTGTTTTAAAATAATTCATGCAATTGTTGCAGAATATCCACCTGAATGTTCTCATGTTTGGCAGTTAATACAAATTTACATCTATGATTTAAAGATAGAGTGGGACAAAAAGTCTTCAATTGTTTCTGCTCTGATATCTGATTTGTGTAATGAATCTGAGAGTGAGAAGTAATATTTAAAAATAATGAATTGTCACAAATTTTCAAGTTCAAAAAAAAATTTATTATTGCATATGAAATATAGACATTCCTATGATGGTAAATATATTCGCTGCATTTCGTATTCGTGTCAAAGAGAATTTAGTTCATACAACTCTTTTTACAAACATCTTTCGAATTTTCACAGAAAAACTTTCTGAATACTCAGTGGTTGTCTAACAACGTTACAGGTCAGTGTAGTAGTCAAGATACAAATTTTACACTACCTTTATTCCATACAGCTCCCAATAGTGTTGTTTCAAAAACAACAGTTTCTGATTATTCTGAACCTTTTAGTAACAGATTATATAATGACATAATTGCAAATAAGGAAAATCAAATTGAGAGTAGTATTGCGCTTTTTATTTCTCACTTATATAGAATCCTTTAATTATGCGAATGTCTGGTGCCTTAATAAATCTTTGGTCAATGAGATTCGAATCAAAGCATAGAACTCTAAAAAATATATCTAATATTTCTTACTCAAAAAAAAATATTTGCTTAACAATTGCAATCCGACACCAACTAAAACTATGTAAGAAATTGATATCTAAGGATGGATTTTCCCGATTTATTGAAAAATCTACAATTACAGAATATAACAAACAAAAAGGATTTATTTATAAATGGATAAAAGTTTATGACAAACTAATAAAACACGGGACTATTTTAATAGTGTATCTCACAGAATCACATCCAGTTTTTGGCAGTGTATGTTCTATTGCTGAAACTGAAGTTGATATTATAAAGATAACGTTCCAGTTATTTGAAACTTTAGGTTATGATCAGCATTTACATGCATATTATGTTAAATTACAAAATGACATTAAAACAGAGGAACTTCAGGAGATTGATAAGTTACACGTCAATTGTTTATACCATATGTCATACGATGGAAGTAGTTTAATTAATATAAATAGTTCTGTCTAAACAGACATAACAACTGAAGTACATATATTCATCATATATATATTATGTAATAGGCTAATATATAAAAATGTTTCTATAATGTTAAGAAGTATTGTTTAATTTTCTTTATATGTTTATGTTTATATTTTCATTTTATATTCAATATACCTATGCTTTCAATAAAATACGAGTTTTTGTTTAATTCCTTCCAAAAGTGCGAATCAATTAATTAATTAATTAATTAATGGTGCGGCAGTAACAACCATAAAATATCGTTCATGATATCATTTATTACAGTTGAAATACATAATTTTTTGTTACGACAATTATTAAATTTTGTTTAATAAGACCGTAGAATATTGTTCCAGCAAGTACAACATTTTTGGCTTTTATAACCACAGTTTTGTGGTTAACAGATTTACAATATTTTAAAGTTCTTGTAACCATAAAAATTAACAATAAATTCATGATGTTTGTAACTAAAATAATCATTGTCCTATATATGACCACAAAATATTGTAGGAATTGCCGATATTATAATTCGTGGAACCATTTATTTTTTAGTGTGAACAAATTCTTTCAAACATCTGTGTTTGTTTTGTTATTTTTTTCATATCTATCAAAGACATTCAGATTAAAAGCCAAGAATGACTCGATTACAATCAATTGTTAATCACCCAATACACTCTGTTTAAACAATAAGTTCTAAGAATATTCTTATTGTGATCGAGACAGAACAAATAAAAAATCGTGGGGTATTCTACGTTGTGCAGTCTCATGTTAGGGTACCCCGTTAAACTCAATAATTTTCGCAATTCCAGAGTAGATCGATGTTTCCCGCCATTGCTTGCGCACAATGCAACTTTCACCACTTCGTCAAAATTTAACGAAAACAAATAGATTTAATTATCCGTGCATGCTGCACGTGATCGCGCTCACACCAACACTTTATTTAATCAACTTTGTCATGGCAATACATCGTCCTCGAAATTTACGTCCGAACTGATGAAGACTTCGAGAGTTTGCAAAAAATTCAGCTAACAAAATCTCGTAGAACAATTTTTACACAAGTCAAGTTGATGGAGTGAAAAGGGGAAAGCTTAACGCGTTTAAGTTCTTAAATTTAATTTTAGTCAATCATCTAACTTCAAGATGGTTTGAGGTAAAATTTAATTTCGCGCTCGTCGAATCTACAACGAGAGAGACATATCGGAGTGTGACGAAAGATCTTCCTCCGGTTTGTTTCTTGCTGCATAATTCATTTAATTATTACGCTGTGCGAATTCGAAACTGGGAATGTTTTGCTGATACACCGGTTCATCTTACCCTCTAGCCGGTTCAAAGTGGTAGAACAACACATTGGCTGCTAATTTCATTTAGACCTCGTTTGTCCGACCTTTTCAGGCTTAATTTCATTACGTTCTGCTTTGTCGTTTAACACTGCAAGTGTTTTCGTTAAGAACGACGCACAGGACCGCACATATTTTTTTCGGCCAGACGTGGGGTAAATGAAGCGAAAACGTCTACTAGGGGAAAAGAAATGTGTCTTACTTGTTTGGTGACGGAGTCGATGAGTCTCACGTAGATGTCTTGCTCTTGTCGCACACCTGGAATTAAAGACAACAATTAGTATAACTCTACTTTAAAAAGAAATCATATCTTTTGTAGTTGGCACAATAATTGTAGCAAAATTTGGATTGTATGCATCAAAATATCGAAGAAATATGCGCATAATATGCACACATTTTTGGTCAAAATATGCACCACTTTATTAAAAATATGCAGCTAAATATGCAAAACATTTTTGAATATTTATGGATAAAGTAGATGTCTTGTAACATTTTTTTTCAATATAAGAAATCAAATTATAACTAAATTAAGTATGTAAGAAAATGTATTTTAGCCATCATTTTTATTAAACCAATTGACTATTAAATGTTATTTTAAATTCTCTATTAAGTATATGTGGATCTATCTATCTATATCCACATTTACAAATTCTCTTCCCAAAATTTTACTCAAAAGCGACAAGGTAATAAATCCTACATTTTCTTCTAAAACAAACTTAAATTTTAGAAAAACTCTTTTATCTTGAACATTGGATAGTTCTGAAAACAATTTCTTACCAGCTGAATAGAATCTACCAGTGCTAAAATGTTTCATTCAAGTTTTAAAATTTTATCAGCAACTATGGAAAAATTTGCTGAAATAAATGCCAATTGAGGTGCCAGTTCTGTTTTAGGAAAAACTATTTTACATTCTTTAATAGAGGTAGCATCGTCTGACAACTCATTAACAAAATTCTTAATTGCATTGTAGTTTTTGGTATAAAATACAGAGTTTCTATAAATGTTTACAGGGTCGAAGTAGGTTATGGAAACGTGCCGCCTCTCAGTTTTGGATTTTACTAAATGCCAAGGACAGATGATAAATACGACAAACATCTATGTAACCGGTTGCCTAAATGCTTCATATCTTATTAAAAAATGAAACTAATTAAGGAAACAAATTTATTGCGGTTAAACATCAAGTCCGTTAATATTTTCACAGTTGTTTTTAGGTGTCATATTCTTCAGGATTAAAAAAGAAACCGTGTTAAAAAAGTGTTAATCTCACAAGCCCTTGCGGGCCGCCACAGGCCGTATCTCAGGAGGACTTCTTCACTTTGCGCATTATCAAGCAAGTTGTTTATCCGGAAGCAAACCAAGCACAAAATTGGTAGTTTGAAGAGTAATTGGCCCCAGCAAATTTGTTAAGATAATTAGTTATTACAGAGCGGTCAGAGTGCGAGGGTTGTAAACTAATTATGACGAAGGTTTGTAACAAATTCGGGCAAGTTGTCGGTCTCAAAGGCCCCAAAGTCCGAAGTATAAGACGAAGCCTGAGGCAAGTGCAACTCTTGTACCGCAAATTCCTCAACGGCCACCGCCTCCTTATCTCGACGGACGCAACCCTCGGTGGCGGTGGTCTATCCAGGCGGGAAATCCGTCAATCCACAAAAGACCAAAGCAAACACGCGCTGAAAGATTTATAACGCTCGCTAATAGCACAGATAAATCAACATTCGCAGTATCTTCTACGGGCAGAAAGTGAATTTTCCACTTTACGCAATAACGAGAAACCGATGGCCTAGCAGTAAAACGCTTGTAAATGCAATTAATTAATTAGTTAGTTGATGGTTTATCAATTGTCAATTACTTGACTTGCAAACTTGTTGCGCTGGACGACTACCTTTTACATTCTGCTGGAAAAACACTATTTACACTTTAGTGCAGTAAGGCGCTCACATATAAGGAACTGGTCCCCGACGAGAACGCACCAGGAATTACAATCGTTAAAGTAGACGTTGCTTTTAATTAGATGGATAATTAATCCAACTAGTCAATCAGATCGACCAAAACGGGCGGTTTACCTTACATATGGCCTCTGTCCTCCGCGGAATGTTCCGATGCATTTTCGTTTCAAATTACGCACTTTAATTGGAATCCTAATTACCTATATCTAGCCACGTGCTGGGATTTTTTGCTCTTGCGACTGAAGCAATTTTGTAGTCGCTTTCGATCTTGACTTTGAAGATACAAGGTTTTCGTGAATGTTTATGAAAAAAGTATCTATGGAGCATCGAAGTTTCTGTTGAGGTGAGGTTGATTTAGTAATTTTGATTTACCGCCACTTGGATTTTGTGTTAGAATTTTACAACCGAGGCGAAGCCGAGAGTTGCAAAAACACTGACTGCGCGAAATTCATGTGCGATTCTTGTTATATAATTCGTTTTACTTCCCAAGCGTTAGCTAAGAAAGTTTCGTAATAGGATTATTTTGATGAATTTCGTATTTTCTCGACGTTTCACAGTTACCGATCTCCCGTTTCCGTTTATCGTCTGTCTGCCTGTCTGTTGGCTATTTGATTAGTAAAAAACTACTAACAGGTTTTAAGTGTACAGTAAAGACATCACTTTTGTGTACTAATAAAAGTTTATGGTCCTGTGTAGCCAGTAATGGTCGAATAACCTTTTTTAAACGGTGCGTGCTGCTTTGAAATCTGCGTAAATTTCAGGGTTGTATTTAGTACTGGAACATAGTTGGTCATTAGAGATTCACTCGACTAAATACGGAGACAAAATAATTTCACGATGTTTAAAGTCGACTATGTAGCGAGCTACAAACGCAAATAACAAGTTGATAGTCTATTACTGTATGCGACCCTTACAGATAGCTCGATTAAATTCATTACAAAATAAACAAATCCGTCTCTGTACGCCTACACACTAGGCTGACCGAAGATTTGTGAAATAAATATGGTTTAGGTATTATCTTCGACTTTTAAGAACTAAAATTTTATTAGTAAAGAAAAATAGTGTTTCACCGGATAGTGGTCTACCGAAAATTGTGCTTTCTAACTTAATACCGCTAAATAGAGTCCTGTTTAGGTGAAGCGTGCCAGCAAAAGATAACAAAAAGCCTCTCTGAAGTCTGGAATAGTCAGTCTCATGCATTTGTATCTAAAAAGCTGCATTAACTATTCGCTGACCAGGGTGGAGGAGGAGTTAAAAACGTAAAACCACTATTCTCGTTGGTGTGCTATACTTTATCAACCAGGTTGTAAAGAGCTCACTTTTTTTTTTATTTTTTAAGAAACACACCAACATATCGAAAGAAAGTGAATAAAACAGGGAGTAAAGTGCAGTAATAAGATATGTGTTCTATTTGAAAAAGTTGGTAGAAGGTCATTTCGGCAGCAATTTCTTCGCCTCTGAAGTACAATCCAACAAATCCCGCTTGTTCGAAAAATTATAAAATTTGATTTTGCACAATTTTATTTGTGATAGCCTCTATACATAAATATAAAATAAAAATATAATTTAACCACCCATAATCCGCCACTGTATTTGATTCGAACGTATTATGTTACGGAAACTCATTCTGTTAACCTGTTTATATTTGGTTTCGTGCGGAGTGAGGAGAAATCAGGTGAGCAGTCAAACAAATGCTGCAACAGTATGAACGCATTTATAAAGCTCAAGGCTGTGCCTATTTCTATTGAGTTTCCCCATTGAAAAATGTTCCGATCATCATTTCAGCAAGGATTCCTATTCCGATTCCGATACGTACAGTAGATGTGCAATACTAATAATAAAAATGTGGATACCTTGGGTAATATATCAAGGCGGATTCATAAACCACAAGTATAGAAATATGTAGGTAATTTTATAAAATTTACTAAACATTTTTTACAATTTTACTGAAACGTCATCAAATTGTTGCTGGGAACGAAAGGATAAGTTTTGGTTAGCGTTTTACCATCTACACAATATTCCTAACATACTTAAAATTTTTTACAACATTAGGTTCAGCAGTTTCGGAGATTATATGTTTAATAAAATTCGACATAAACAGATGGTAGATGAGAGACAAACAAAATGAAACGCGAGACCTACTTTTTCATACTCTAGAGGCCATGAAACATCGAGCAGACATGAAAGTAACCAATCGTCGGATTGGTTAAATATTTATATTATTTAGAAAATGTGATATTCAAGGATTTTTACTTCTTGAGCGTAAGCTACGGGAGTATAATAATCGGGCGACTTTTCAAATTTTCTCGACGTTTCGTGACAGAGTGCGAAAAAAGTGGTCCCCGTTTCCGTCTGTGTGACGATGTCGTCTGTTTAACTGTGTCGATTTTTATTAGACAGACAATCTCTGAAACTACCAGACCGATTGTTGTCACATTTCGTATGTATATTAGAAATATCATGTATATAGTAAAACGCTAACCAAAATTTGGCTAATCATCCCCACCAAAAATTTAATGACGCCATCTCCAAAATTTGCAACAGTAAATGTCATTTAAATTTTATAAAATAAAATACTCCTCCACTGGTGGTGTATGAATCCGTGTCAAGTTTTTTACTTTATACATTCAGTTTTTGGAAAAAAAATCAAAGTTGTATAATATTTTGCAATGTAATTTTGGAACTGCAAAAGTGAATGCTCTGAAATATTACAAACTTTTGAAGGTTATCATCAGCATAATAAATCGTCAATTAAAATTTATTCGTTTGTACTCTCCCAAAAAATTGATGAGTCAGTGTCAAAATTTGCTGAAATATGCAAAGTATTATATATTATAGTCTTTGGAATTACTTGTACAGGGTGACGCAAAAAAAAAAATGAATGAGGCAATATATTTAATAGTGTACTGTTATTATTGGTATTACACTGCTTATATCCAAATCGATATACGCAAAATGTTAATGACGTCATCACAAAATTTTGTAACGGAAAAGAAACGCGTAGGACGTTTCTTTACCTTGAGTTTAACATTACACGTGTATACCTATCTTTATTTTAACTTATATTCGTAAAGATTATCAAAAAATAAAAAAAAATCACAAAATCCAATCTTAGAAGTTTTCCAAAAACTGGATTTGTTGAAGTGTACCTACTTCAGTGGAAAGGGAAGTTCTGTCAAAATACCGTGCGATCAATTTCCTTATAAACACTGTTTACATTAATATTTAAGTTAATTAGTTTATTGACGCTATCACAAAGCGTAGGAAATTATTGTCAGAAAACGGCATTTTAAAAATAAATTGTGCTGATCA